TACGGCAGTGAAGCATCGGTGTTGAACACTGATGTCATGCTGTCGAAGATGATGATGATGATGACATCATAGCTGTCGAAGATTTAGTTTCATTGTGCGAATACTGAGCGTTGCCGTAGGTAGGTTGGCCAACTGCTCCTTTGAACGGCACCCGTTTCTTTAGGTCCTGTTTCTTACTGAACCGAGAATGAAGGCATTGTTTGAGGGCTTGTATCAAGTCTGCAAGGAAGCAGCCCATTCACGTGTCCCGGCTTTCACTGCTGGGCTTAGACTGACCCAAATGAGTTAGAGCAACGTTTTTTCTCTGGTCAGGAACATCTTGCTAGTCGAGTGCTGCTGACCAGGCCTCTACATCATTAATCACTGCCTAAGCTGCAGTATGAATGCGATATTAGGATAATTAGCATAACGATGCCATGTGAATACCTTGACGAAAATATCATTGGACAACTCTGTTCTGTACAGGATCTCATCATCTATCTACCCACAAATCAATCAAGTCGAAGACAAAGTACAGTTTGCCAAAAATATTTTCAGAATAACTATATTTTCATCCACTGATCGCCTTGGAACCAGCACCTGTTATTCCTGTAGACAATTAACAAAACCCAACAAAAGTAACAACGTGCGTATTTCTCTGCCCACAGGAGCATCAGTTCTAATCCACTGAAATGTGATTGTCACCTCAGTTGGCTTCCGGACTGGCTGCGCGAGAATGTGGACCAAGTCATTTCTGGTCCTTCTCCGCCGACTTGTGTTGAACCGGAAGATCTCGCGGGGACACCTTTGGCCAGTTTGGCTCGTTATCACTTCACATGCAACAAGCCGGGCGAGGAATGTGGCGCAAATTCCAAGATAACGCGCCCTACAGAAGAACGCGTTACAAGATGGCCTTGCACCACCAGTCGTTCTGTGTGTTGTGAAGACCCACTGAGTAAGGGCATTTTCCCCTCCTATACGGTTCCATGAATGGTTCGCGAAATAACTTGCCTTCAGATGAATTCGAAGGAACGAACGGTTTATTTCCTTATTTCTAGCAACGGAGCGGTCAAAGTGTCCCGATCGATGTACGTGTGAATCTGACGGCGTGTACTGTTCGGATCTCGGTTTAACTGAGATTCCTGAAAACATTCCAGAAAACACAACAAAACTGTGAGTGGATTCCATGTCATTTCTAATACTTTGCACTCGTTTGTTCTTTTGCGTAACCACTGTTCTGTCAAGATGTATGTTTTCGGGACTCGCCGAAAGTCTAGTTTCTATACAGGATGAACTGACCCAGTTGAATGAACTTGAATCCCGCTGTAAAAGTGCAGTCCAGAATTTGTCCATGACATCCCACGAAAGTTTGTATCCCTTTGTCCTCCAGTTGTTGACGTTTTGATCATGTCGACACTTTCCGCCCCTGCATTAAGTAAAGAGCTTCTTTATTCCACTCATTTGAAGCTAATATCTACATTTAGTCCACAAAATTTTAGGCACATTTAATTCAAGTTCAAGTGTTCATCAGTACCGGATGGTACCGACCACAACAAAAGTTCAAAAACCTGCGCCGGTTTTCGGTAAGAGTCCTGCTTTGGATGACATCACCTTGACAGTTCATCTACTTATCCTAATAGATCATACCACATGTTTCCCGACCTAGCAAAAGCCAGCTGACTCACCTGTTCAAAATGCACGTCACAAACATGGCTGGTCATCAGTCCGGTCAACCTGATGTTTCGACTAGATTCTTCGGCCCGTTTATTCCATTTGATTAAGCTGACCCATTAGTTTGCATGTGAGCATGCTCATTTTGTTCAATAACCCGTCCGGCACTCTAATGAATTCCGATTCAACTCAGA